TACTAGTCTATAGTATAGTCTATAATCTAGTCTATAGACTATACTATTGACTAGACTATAGACTAGACTATAGACTAGACTATAGACTAGAATATAGACTAGACTATAGACTAGACTATATACTATAGACTAGACTATAGACTAGACTATAGACTAGACTATACACTAGACTATAGACTAGACTATAGACTAAACTATAGACTAAACTATAGACTAGACTATAGACTAGACTATAGACTAGACTATAGACTAGACTATAGACTAGACTATAGACTAGACTATAGACTAGACTATAGACTAGACTATAGACTAGACTATAGACTAGATTATAGACTAGACTATAGACTAGACTATAGACTAGACTATAGACTAGACTATAGACTAGACTATAGACTAGACTATAGACTAGACTATAGACTAGACTATAGACTAGACTATAGACTAGACTATAGACTAGACTATAGACTAGATTATAGACTAGACTAGACTATAGACTAGACTATAGACTAGACTATAGACTAGACTATAGACTAGACTATAGACTAGACTATAGACTAGACTATAGACTAGACTATAGACTAGACTATAGACTAGACTATAGACTAGACTATAGACTAGACTATAGACTAGACTATAGACTAGACTATAGACTAGACTATAGACTAGACTATAGACTAGACTATAGACTAGACTATAGACTAGACTATAGACTAGACTATAGACTAGACTATAGACTAGACTATAGACTAGACTATAGACTAGACTATAGACTAGACTATAGACTAGACTATAGACTAGACTATAGACTAGACTATAGACTAGACTATAGACTAGACTATAGACTAGACTATAGACTAGACTATAGACTAGACTATAGACTAGACTATAGACTAGACTATAGACTAGACTATAGACTAGACTATAGACTAGACTATAGACTAGACTATAGACTAGACTATAGACTAGACTATAGACTAGACTATAGACTAGACTATAGACTAGACTATAGACTAGACTATAGACTAGACTATAGACTAGAATATAGACTAGACTATAGACTAGACTATAGACTAGACTATAGACTAGACTAGACTAGACTAGACTATAGACTAGACTATAGACTAGACTAGACTATAGACCAGACTATAGACTAGACTATAGACCAGACTATAGACCAGACTATAGACTAGACTATAGACCAGACTATAGACTAGACTATAGACTAGACTATAGACTAGACTATAGACTAGACTATAGACTAGACTATAGACTGGACTATAGACTAGACTATAGACTAGACTATAGACTAGACTATAGACTAGACTATAGATTAGGCTATAGACTAGACCAAAGACTCGACTATAGATTAGACAATATACTAGTCTAGATTATAGAATCGATTATACACTAGACTATAAATTAGCTCTAAACTAAGCTATACACTAGACTATGGACTAGACTGTATATTATGACTTGAATGTATCCTAGACCATATTCTTGACTATGGAAAAGATTATAGACTAAATTGTAGACTATAGGCTAGAGTATAGAATTTTAGTTACTTCCCTACAGTTGGCATCACTGCTTGAAGATAAAGGGGTGTATTTCGATTCAGAAAGTACAGAAAAGAAGTACCATAGAACTGACATTTCCACGCCTGGTTCAGCTACTAAAATAAATATTAATTTTCTTAAATTTTATTATAACACTTTTCATCTTTTAACAATATAAACATGTTGCTAAACATTAAAAGGTACATATTGATAATAAACATGTATATAATTATATTCATAATTCTGTTATCTGTTATATTATACGCGCTAACAACAGCCAACTGTAGCAAAACCAACAACAAAATTCAACATTTGGTGTTAAATAATTCTACACATTGTTCATTCTCCGTTTATAACAGCAGCTTCTGTTAAAGTTTATTTATTTCTCTGCTGCAGCTCTGCTCTCTGTTAAGATTTCTGTGTTTATTTTTACTGTTAATTCTGGTCTCTGTTTTATTACTTGGTTTTTATTTGTTTTTGTTTGTATTTTAAGTTGAGTTGATTAGTTTAAATGTGTTTTTCTTTTAGTTGTTGTTTTTTTGCTTTGCTTTTATTGTTTGTTGTTGTCTTTTTTGATGTTTTTCTTTAGTAAACATTTAAATTAAACAACTCTTCTTTTATTTCTTAAGTTTTTTGTTTCTGTTATACATTTTTCTTTTATTCTGGTTTTCTTTTTCATGTTTTTTTTTTTTTGCTTCTTCAAAATTCATTCATAAAAATCTTTAAATTATGGGTGTGTATGAGTGTAGAATAGGGTCCAGTTGTATTTTTTGTTTCTTGTTTGTTGTATACATATTTATTTTAATTGACCATATGTTTTTATGGTGCCCTACAGTAAGTACGTTTATTATTAGTTAGGTTTTTTAAACTGTTTTTCAATAAATCAATAATATTTTGAAATATACCACAGTGGATGGGATCAAGAGAAAAATATAATTCTGTTATAGGTATCTAAAAAGTAAGAGCAATTCATCTAAATCACTTTTGAAATAGAATATCCATACTATTGTATGGTGCCATACGGTCGGCCATGCCCGACTATACTTTCTTGTTTACTTTTTCTTTTTGTTGTTAAGAAAAATAAATTTTTATTTATGTATTTTTAATAGTTTTTTATTTTTTATAATATCATACTAATGTTGTATTTTATAAATAAACATAGGAATAATTCTCATTTGTATTGTACATATTGCAAATTTTGTATTTCTACAAAATTAAAATTAATTTCATAAAATTCTTAGAAAATATCGTGAAAATAATGATGAGTTTGAGTTACATTTCACATTTTCATAATCTTATTTGCATTTAAATTATTAAGATGTGAAAATTATTAAGAATTGAAATTTAATAAAAATAAAAAACAAGCAAAAATTTATAGTCGGACATGGCCGACCATATGATACTCTACACCAATGAGTAGTATGTTAAAAATGTTGATTAGTTTTTTAATAATAAAGCATTTTACCTTAATTTCGAACTATTTTAACAATTTGTTGCCAAAAAAGTGATTTTTTAAAAGAGGGGTTAGGTATATCGTGATAAAGATAAATATGGCACGGTCCGCATAAATTTTGGTAGACCGTTTTACAATGACTAAAGTTATTTGTACAGAATTTCATCGCGATACATACTAGAGTTTAAAGATGAATTTTTACTTTCAAATAATTTTCTGAAGGGAATTTTATATGGGGGCTGGGGTCAAAAGGGGCCCGATCATTACGAAAATCGTAAATATCATTTAAACTTCTATAAAACCAAGATTTGCAGATTTTTGTAAAGATTCGTAATTATAAACTCAAAAGCAATATTCGGGGGTACGGTTGTATAGCGGCTATTCGAAATAATGAACCGATTTCAACCATTTTCACTAGCGTTCATCCTTGAGTTAAAAGAAGTGTATGTGTCAAATTTCATCAATCTTATCTAATTTAATAAATTTTTTTAAATTGCTACCTGTGGAGTGCGACGATTTTATATTTTTGGTCCTGTCCCCCACTATAATGGGTAACAGATTCCTTTCTAGTTAGTTAGTTAGTTAGTTAGTTAGTTAGTTAGTTAGTTAGTTAGTTAGTTAGTTAGTTAGTTAGTTAGTTAGTTAGTTAGTTAGTTAGTTAGTTAGTTAGTTAGTTAGTTAGTTAGTTAGTTAGTTAGTTAGTTAGTTAGTTAGTTAGTTAGTTAGTTAGTTAGTTAGTTAGTTAGTTAGTTAGTTAGTTAGTTAGTTAGTTAGTTAGTTAGTTAGTTAGTTAGTTAGTTAGTTAGTTAGTAGTTAGTTAGTTAGTTAGTTAGTTAGTTAGTAGTTAGTTAGTAGTTAGTTAGTTAGTTAGTTAGTTAGTTAGTTAGTTAGTTAGTTAGTTAGTTAGTTAGTTAGTTAGTAGTTAGTTAGTTAGTAGTAGTTAGTTAGTTAGTTAGTTAGTTAGTTAGTTAGTTAGTTAGTTAGTTAGTTAGTTAGTTAGTTAGTTAGTTAGTTAGTTAGTTAGTTAGTTAGTTAGTTAGTTAGTTAGTTAGTTAGTTAGTTAGTTAGTTAGTTAGTTAGTTAGTTAGTTAGTTAGTTAGTTAGTTAGTTAGTTAGTAGTTAGTTAGTTAGTTAGTTAGTTAGTTAGTTAGTTAGTTAGTTAGTTAGTTAGTTAGTTAGTTAGTTAGTTAGTTAGTAGTTAGTTAGTTAGTTAGTTAGTTAGTTAGTTAGTTAGTTAGTTAGTTAGTTAGTTAGTTAGTAGTTAGTTAGTTAGTTAGTTAGTTAGTTAGTTAGTTAGTTAGTTAGTTAGTTAGTTAGTTAGTTAGTTAGTTAGTTAGTTAGTTAGTTAGTAGTTAGTTAGTTAGTAGTTAGTTAGTTAGTTAGTTAGTTAGTTAGTTAGTTAGTTAGTTAGTTAGTTAGTTAGTTAGTTAGTTAGTTAGTTAGTTAGTTAGTTAGTTAGTAGTTAGTTAGTTAGTTAGTTAGTTAGTTAGTTAGTTAGTTAGTTAGTAGTTAGTTAGTTAGTTAGTTAGTTAGTTAGTTAGTTAGTTAGTTAGTTAGTTAGTAGTTAGTTAGTTAGTTAGTTGGTCCAGGACGCGGTTTTCCCTCATTTTTTAATATTTAAGGCGACCCTAAAATCAGTACCTAGGGAGTGCAATTCGAACAAAAGTCGTTGATTAAAGACAGGGGTTCAAAAACCTCCAACAGAACACTTAATGTTCAAATTTTCTAAAGAAATCCTTAAATCAATTTTCATTATAAAAACTTGTTAAATTAAAGCATCTGGTCACTTTCTGCAGTTTAACTTTTGTTTACATTATGTTATTGTCATATAAACATGTTGACTTTAACTCTTTATCAAATGTTGCTAAACATTTCGAACATTTGCTAAAAAATGCCCACAGAAAAGCAAAACAAAAATTCACCACCAGCTAAAGCCACACTAAAATAAACAACAATAAATGCACACTAGTAAGAGGAGAAACAACAACAAACACACCACCGCTTTTAACAGCTGTAGCAGAGCAGCACAGCACAACACAAGTGTTACATTTTAACAAATTCGAACAGTTTTTAACAGACGTCTAGTGAAAACGGTGGTGTAACGCGGATGAACGAAATAGAAAAAATTTTGTATTTTGAAAAGAAAAAAACAACAAAAACCAAATTAAAATAAAAGAAACATATTGAAAACAACAATTAAAAAAGTAAAAAAAAACATATTTTATGAAAATGAATTAAAAAAAATTAACAAAAATTTAAATAAAAGGTGATTAATTTTGAAAAGAAATAAAAGTTTAATTAAAGAAAATTATTTATTATAAAAATTGTTTATTAAATTTAATTTGACAGTGAGTTTAGTTTGCAAGACAATTTGTTAGTCTTGTGCTTCTTCTTGTTTAATACGGCCTGTTGCTTGATTAGAATTTTACTTTTTTTTTGTGTTTGTTCTTTGCTTTGTTTTCTTTATGGCGGTGCATTCTGAGTTTGTGTGTGTATGTATGTTGAGTGTGTTTTCAAGTTAAATGAATGATAAATAGAAAACAAAGCAAAAGAATTAGTGAAAGAATAATGAAAAGAAGATAAATAATATGAAAAAAGTGTTAAAATTTAAGAGTGAGATTAAGTCAATACAACATTTTATAAGAAAAATATGAAAATTTTTAAAAAAGTTTGTTTTCAAATTGAAAAATTTTATTGAAAATAAAAGGAATTTTTAAAATATAAAAAAGAAAAATGTTAAATAACTAAAGAAATGAGAGAAAATTTTTAAAAATGTAAACAAATTTTTGTTAAAAAGAAATTTAAGAAAAAACACGATTTTTAAACAAATTGAAGAAACTTGTGTAAAACTGTGGTGTTTTTTTCTGAAATTTAAAAAATTTTGAAAAATAACTGAGAAAAATTTTAAAAGAAAATTTTAATATTTGAAACTGAAAACAAAATTTATGGAAATTTATAATTTAATTGAAAATTAAAAAGAAAATTTAAACAATTTTGAGTTTTTTTTCAAAATTAATAAAAATTTTGAAATAAAATTTAAAAAATTATCTTAAATATTATAACAACTGTAAACAATTTATAAAAATTTGTGGAATACTGCTTTCAAAAGTTAAAAATATTAGTAAAGTTTTGATTGTAAAACAATTTTATCAAAAATATTGAAAATAGTGACAAAATTGCAAAATTTTTATAATAAATTTATAAAAACTTAATACAAAATGAAAAATTTTGAAAAACATTGTGAATAAATAAAGTGTTTAATTGAAATTTTTGGAATTTTTATAAAAAAGTTTAATCAAATATTGATTAAAAAAAAAATTATAAGAGTATTATAAAAATTGTCGATATTTTTAGATTCAATATTTAATTTTTAACATAATTTCTTAAAAAATTTCAAAAACTAAACGATTTTCAAAATTCAAGTTTTCTAAAAACCTTTTAAAAATACAAATTTAAACTAAAATCTGAATAAAACAATTACAATTTTGAGATAAATTATTATATGTAATATTTAAAAAAGTATTAAACAATAAAACAGTTTTAAAAAAGTGTGATTTTAACTTAAAATTTTACAAAAAAAAAAAACAAATCTTATTAAGTATCTTATAAAAAAAACTTTATGAAAAATTTAAAATTCTTCGTAATTTTTTTAAAAAAATCTATAATAAAAACTGGATTATAACTTTCTTTCGAACTGAATGAACATATTTTCAACAAGTTTTCTAAAAATGCCGAAAAGTTTTGAAGAAAAGTCAAAACTTAGGTACTATATTACAGTTTTTTGGGGATTAAGATTCTTTAAAATTTTAATACAATCAAAGTAATTCTCCATTTTATTTCAATTAGTTTGCAACTTCTAAACTTTAACACCAATCTTAGCAAAACTTGGAATATTAATAGAAGTGTGTTAATAGAATAAATAAGTTAAACTTTTCGAATATATTTAAAATGTATTGTTAAATTTAACACAAATTGAGTCTTAATGTGTCAAAGTTGCGTATATGTACTACGTATAACTCCAATATATCTTAATATATGAATAAGCTTTTAGAAATTTTCATGATTCTGAGAAATCATTTTAAAAATTACACCTATTCTTGTTATTTTACACAAGTTCTGACATACTTTTCATTGCAAAATTTCAAAAAATAGCTATTTTCTAAAAAATTTTAAACATTTTCGAAACTTCAAAACTTCCAGCATTATATCTCTATGGAACTTGGCCTTTAGATAGTGTAGACGTTAAGCTTACAGAATATGGATTTATTAATATACTTAGGCTATGTATATACACACGGTTGTCAGATCTTACAACGTTGGCAGAAAAACGTTCAACCGTGTGAACATGAAATTTTTGTCTTTCAACGAAGTCAGAAAAAGCATTGTCAGTACATATATTATAAAACAATAACATTGTTAGACATTTAACAATTGTGTAAAGCCGTTGTGTTGCCATTGTCAGATAATTGTCTGACAAAGGATAAATGACAGATAAATGTTTTCTATTGGCAAGACTGTGCATTAAAAGAACATACCTATGCAGCTAAAATAAGATACAACAATCTGACAACAATGTGAACTGTGTGACAATTGTCTGGCAATAAATTTGTAAGGTTTTCTTACAATCGTCTGAACTGACAATTTACCTATTGCTAACAATTTGTCATTGACAGTGCATTGGCATCACAGATCTGCCAACGTTGTAAGATCTGACAAATCGTGTATACGTACATAGCTTTAAGAGAAAACTTTTTTGACTCAGACTATAGAGCAGAATATAGACTAGACTATAGACTAAACTATAAACCAGACTATAGACTAGACTTTAGACTGTAGACTAGAATATAGATTAGACTATAGACTAGACTGTAGACTAGACTATAGATTAGACTTTAGACTGTAGACTAGAATATAGATTAGGCTATAGACTAGACTGTAGACTAGACTGTAGACTAGACTATAGATTATACTATAGACTAGACTATAGACTAGACTATAGACTAGACTATAGACTAGACTATAGACTAGACTATAGACTAGACTATAAACTATACTATAGACTAGAATATAGATTAGACTATAGACTAGACTATAGATTAGACTATAGACAAGACTATAGAATAGACTATAAACTAGACTATAGACTAAACTATAGACTAGACTATAGACTAGACTATAGAATAGATTATAGACTAGACTATAGAGTAGACTATAGACTAGACTATAGAGTAGACTATAGAGTAGACTATAAACTAGACTATAGACTAGACTATAGACTAGACTATAGACTAGACTATAGACTAGACTATAGACTAGACTATAGACTAGACTATAGACTAGACTATAGACTAGACTATAGACTAGACTATAGACTAGACTATAGACTAGACTATAGACTAGACTATAAACTAGACTTTAAAATAGTCTATAGACTAGACTATAGACTAGACTATAGACTTGACTAAAGACTAGACTATAGACTATACTATAGACTATATTATAGTCTATACTACAGACTAGAATATTGTTGAGTTGGAAACTAAAATCTTTAAAAAACTTTAATATTACAACAATTTTCACAAATTTTTTATAAATCTTATAGTATAAAAATTGTTTAAAAACTCCAAATTCAAATTTCCTTTCCAAATCTCTTAGAATTCCAAGAATTTCTCTTAAACACTTCTTTTTATTTTCATGAAATTTTTTTGTATAAATTACATAAAATTACTTTTAAATTATGGATTTACATAAAAACACACACCAGAAAACATAAAAGCAATCAAAACTCATAAAAAAACTACTTTAACAACAATTTAAGGACGTGCCAAGCATAAATTTAATTCTTGAAAAGAATGAAACTCCTTAAAACAACCAAATTATCATTTCAAACATCTCTGTTTTTTTCTACAGTGTAAAAAGTGCAGTGACACCAAAAAAAAAACCAACAACAAAAGTAAACACCCAAATAAAAGAAAGAGAAAAACAAAAGAACTTATAAAATCAAAACTGCCAAAAAAATAAGTAACAACAACCAAAAAAAGAAAAATTCTATAAAAAACCTAAAGGCAGAAAGAAAAAACAACAAAAAACACGACATATTAAACAAAAACTTAAAAAAGCAACAACAAAACAAAAAGTAAAAAAAAAAACAACTTCAGCAACATAATTCCAGGAAATCAAAAACAAACCAACAACAAATCAAACACAGTGTTTAAAAACAACAACAACAAAAGAGTAAAACAAACTTAAAATAATAATAACTACTAAAATACAACAAATATAAAGTTTTAAACCTTAATTCTTAAAAACAACAACTACAAAAATCCCCCCAAAAAAACTACAAATATTATTATTATTGTTATTGTCTTTGCAATTGTAAAAGACTGTGTGTTCTTTCTTAAACTCAATTATCATTGAGAGACAAACCAAAAAAAGCAAGAACAAAACTTAACAACAAAAACAACTACAACAACTGCTTAACATATTTCTACTTGCATTTTGCCGCCAACTGTATTATAAACACATTTTCTACTACTTTTTCAAACTAAAACAACAACGACAAAAAAACCAGAACTTTAAACAAAAATCTTAAAAAAAAACAAAAAGCAATAAACTAAAAGTTGCTACAAAACATTAAAATAACCAACAACAACAACTAAGACCATAAAATTGTAACAACAAAACTCCTTTATATATTTTGGGTTCCTTGTTATAAAAAAAAACAGCACATTTAATTTTCAACTTCTTCTTGTTGTTGTTATTATTGTTGCTCTTAACAGTGTGCAATTTTTTTCTTAAAAGAGTGTGTGTGTGTGAGTGTTTTCTTTTACCAGACGTCATCTCATCTTTAAAATTTTGCATCATTTATTTTAAATTTTTGGCTCCATTGTGCGATTCTGTTTCTACTCTACTTCTTTTGTTTGGCTGTTATTGTGGATATAAAATTTTATTACTGCTGGTATGTTGTTGTTTCTTTTACTTTTTTTTTTTTTAAGAATTAAATTCTTTTTCTTGTTTTCATTATTTTAAGTTTAGAAAATATTATGCACTATAGCAATAATGGAAAAAAAGGTTCAAATAAAAATTTACATGAATTTTAATGGGAAATTTACTTGTGAAGAAATAAAAAAAAAACGAATTATTAAGAATACAGGGGAGAGAAGTTTAACTTTTAAGGAAAGGGGAAATGTTTAGAAAACTAAAGAAGAAATGTAATTCAACAATAATTTTTTAGAAAAGGTCAACTATAGACTAGTCTACAGGGTAAACTATATACATATATTCATATTGACTAGACTACAGTCTAAGCTATAGACTAGACTATAGACTAGACTATAGACTAGGCTATAGACTAGACTATAGACTAGACTATAGAGAGGACTATAGACTAGACTATAGACTAGACTATAGACTAGACTAGACTATAGACTAGACTATAGACTAGACTATAGACTAGACTATAGACTAGACTATAGACTAGACTATAGACTAGAACTATAGACTAGACTAGACTAGACGATAGACTAGACCTATAGACTAGACCATAGACTAGACTATAGACTGACTATAGACTAGACTAAAGACTAACTATAGACTAGACTATAGACTAGACTATAGAACTAGACTATAGAGAGGACTATAGACTAGACTATAGACTAGACTATAGACTAGACTATAGACTAGACTATAGACTAGACTATAGAGAGGACTATAGACTAGACTATAGACTAGACTATAGACTAGACTATAGACTATACTATAGACTAGACTATAGACTAGACTATAGAGAGGACTATAGACTAGACTATAGACTAGACTATAGACTAGACTATAGACTAGACTATAGACTAGACTATAGACTAGACTATAGACTAGACTATAGACTAGACTATAGACTAGACTATAGAGAGGACTATAGACTAGACTATAGACTAGACTATAGACTAGACTATAGACTAGACTATAGACTAGACTATAGAGGACTATAGACTAGACTATAGACTAGACTATAGACTAGACTATAGACTAGACTATAGACTAGACTATAGACTAGACTATAGACTAGACTATAGACTAGACTATAGACTAGACTATAGACTAGACTATAGACTAGACTATAGACTAGACTATAGACTAGACTATAGACTAGACTATAGACTAGACTATAGACTAGACTATAGACTAGACTATAGACTAGACTATAGACTAGACTATAGACTAGACTATAGACTAGACTATAGACTAGACTATAGACTAGACTATAGACTAGACTATAGACTAGACTATAGACTAGACTATAGACTAGACTATAGACTAGACTATAGACTAGACTATAGACTAGACTATAGACTAGACTATAGACTAGACTATAGACTAGACTATAGACTAGACTATAGTCTAGTCTATAGTCTTGTATAGACTAGTCTATAGTCTAGTCTACAGGCTAGATTACAGACTAAATTATAGTCGTGACTAAACCATAATCCAGACTATAGTCTATACTATAGGTCAGAATGTAAACTAGGCTATAGGCCATACTGTAGATTAGACTATAGCTCGGAATATAGACCAGATTATAGTCAAGAATATAGATTTAACTGTAGTTCAATCTATAGCCTCGACTATAGTCAAGACTTTTACTGTGATTTTCCTCAATTTATTTACTAATTAAAAATTTTAAACAAAACTATTTTAAATGTCTTTAGGCCTTAAAAATTTATCTGCTATATCTCTTTAAGATATGCAATTTTAGGGGCAGCATTTTGTGCCCACCCTCTTTTACACTTGCTTTCACGTGCATTTACTTTTTCCCAAAATAAATGTCTCTCTAGATTTGAAAATTTCTATTAAATAGCTATTTTTAAAATTTTCTTTTATTTGTTTCTAAATAATAAACATTTTTAGAGAAAATATAAACAATTACTTAAACATTGTTGTCTTATTTGTTGAACAAATTAATCATTTGTCGTAGAGATAGACATGATGGGGGGACCTGGTCGGTAAAAAAAAGCCCAAAAACAGCTTATAACACATGGTAATAACAAATGATTGAATATCGTCCGATACCTTCAATTACTAATTTATTTATCTAAATACGTTGATGTTTATGTTATGTATTTGTAAGATAAATAAATAGAAAGAAATTTCTTTCTATTACAATTTCACTTTCACTTACAGAGACTTTTGGAAAGAAAAACATTACCTGATAATTAACTTCACTTTACTTCACCACAAAAGTTTAAAAAAAGGGCTACGGGTACTTAATCTAACAAATAAATTTGTTTTATCAATTAATGGTGTGTTGGGGACTTTAAAATTCTGTTTCTATTGAAATTTCTATTTTCAATCTGCGGCTAATGCTGCAGTTTTCTTTGTTGACAATGATTTGTCATTGATTTTTTCAGTTTTTTTTTTGTTTTTTTTCGATCAGCATCATTTCCTTCTGGTTTTTAGTTTTTTATTATTATGTATTTTTCTATTTAATGTCAACATGACTTTTTGATTTTATTAGTGTGTGTTTTTATTATAGTTTTTACTTTTTTCACTCTGTTTTGTTATAAAATTTTACTTCTTGTCATCTGATTTTTTGTAAAGTTTTTTTCCTTTAACTTTTTCAATACTTTTTTTTTTGTTTATTGTTTATTTTAGTAATATAAACATCCGAAATACTTGATGACGACGATGACAATGTTGTTATTATATTGTTGTTGATTTGTCACTGTGATGTAACATTTTCATTTGTTGGTTGCATGTAATTGTTTGTAGTACAAAATACTTTCTAAAAAAAAATCTTTTATACAATTCCTTTCCCTTTTTTTGCCGGAACGAATTGAAAAAATAAACAAAATTTTCGTTTCTAAAATGATTTTTTTTGTAAGAGTTCTTTAATGTTGAATTGTTTAGAGGGGGAGGTAATGAAAGTGAAAATTTTGTATTTCCAAAACATTCACATGTGCAACATATGTTGCCTTAAACTAACCACACATAATAATCATATGGCTGCTTAAAGCATATTACATGTGTGATATTTAGCTGGAAGTTTTAGGAATATGTCACACATATTTAAACTCTTGAAAATAACACAATTTTTTTGTTTTATTAATTTTTTGGTATTATTCTAAAATAATCTATGACTGGTCTTTTACAATTTTAAATAAAAAACCTTGAACTGAAATTTTTTTAATACCAAATCCTAGTCTAGTCTAGTCTAGTAAATCCAAATCTAGTCTATAGTCTGGACTATAATCAAGTCTATAGTCTGGACTATAGTTTAGTCTATAGTCTGGACTATAGTTTAGTCTACAGTCTGGACTATAATCAAGTCTATAGTCTGGAATATAGTTTAATCTATAGTCTGACCTATAGTCTAGTCTATATTCTGGACTATAGTCTAGTTTGTATTCTGGACTATAGTCTAGTCTATAGTCTAGACTAAAGTTTAGTCTATAGTCTGGCCTATAGTTTAGCCTATAGTCTGCACTGTAGTCTAGTCTATAGTATGGGCTATAGTCTATAGACTGGACTATAGTCTAGTCTATAGTCTGGACTATAGTCTAGTCTATAATCTGGACTATAGTCTAGTCTATAATCTGGACTATAGTCTTGTCTATAGTATTTATTATAGTCTGGACTATAGTCTAGTCTATAGTGTGGAATATAGTTTAATCTATAGTCTGGACTATAGTCTAGTCTATATTCTGGACTATAGTCTAGTTTGTATTCTGGACTATAGTCTATAGTTTAGTCTATAGTCTGGACTATAGTTTAGTCTGTAGTCTGTACTGTAGTCTAGTCTACAGTCTGGACTATAATCAAGTCTATAGTCTGGAATATAGTTTAATCTCTAGTCTGGACTATAGTCTAGTCTATATTCTGGACTATAGTCTAGTTTGTATTCTGGACTATAGTTTAGTCTATAGTCTAGACTAAAGTTTAGTCTATTGTCTGGACTATAGTTTAGCCTATATTCTGTACTGTAGTCTAGTCTATAGTATGGGCTATAGTCTATAGACTGGACTATAGTCTGGACTAT